AGTCAAGACGGGACAACCGCCTTGATGGCTGCAACTGCTCGTGGCCACTTGGAAGTGGTGCGGTTATTGCTTGAGGCTGGAGATGACAAGAGGCGGCTGCTGTGTAGCACAGAATACTTCCATGTCTTGTTGAGGAACAGTTTTCAGCCGGTGCCTAATTATGTGATGTTCTTGATGAATGATGGTAGATCTCAAGCACAGTTGTTCAACTAAGATTCACATCTATCGACACCATTGTTCACTGCTTACCTTCAGTGTTGAAAGGCGGACCTTCTGGAGACGAGCCCATCGAACTCACGACGTTCCCCTATAACCTGGCCCATCAAACCTGGTCAGTCACTGGTCAGTTGACCTGGCCAAGGTACAGCAACGTGAGGCCCTCTAGAGACCTCGTACAGGGTTTCCACCGGTTTTCCACCGGTTTGAACTCGGCCGCGTGCGTCAGCGCCGCACCAGTTCGACGGCCCTGTCGCCCCAAGGCCACGGCTACGTGCTGCCGGAGCCGAAGAGGCGGGAAGCTAGAGCCGAAGAGGATAGAAACGAAGATGGCAAGGCCAGGAGGTCGACGGCCAGGTTCATGGAGTCTCCACCCCCCTCAGAGTTATACACCTCACCTCCAAACGCGGATGACGTGGAGGGGGTCTCGGCCCAGCGGCTCGGAACCGCTCCTGGTGAGGCAGAAGCCCCGAAAGGCGCCACTCCGGATGAGTGCGGGGTCGCGTGTGGTGGAAGTCGTTTGGAAGGACATGGTGCTAAAAGATGCTACAAGTCGGATGGAATCGGATTGGATGTGGAAGCTTGTGGGGTTAGCCAAGAGGATTCGGTTGGGAAAGAGACGCGTCAGTTCCGAAGCCTTTGAAACAGAACTCCTCTCACCTACCCTTCGTACCCTTCCGAGCCCCAAAAAAGGCCCTGTTTGGAGCTGGAGCACAAGAACTGGTGTCGTGTCGTGTGTTCTTTTTCGTTTGGCACCTCTTTCACCATCTTCCACCTGTGAGGTGGATTGATTCGTTCACCTCCGTTTGGAGCGTCCAAACCACTCCGTTTTGTTCGAACCCCGTTGGATCTTCGTGCTCGGCGTGTGCCTGCCCACCCCGTGGAAACGCTGCGCCGTAACCCGTTGTGGGACGTCCATACTGCGGTGGTCATAACGAGGTCCTCGTGCTGCCGTTGAGGACATGAAACGCTGGCACTATGCCGTTGAAAGCCGAACCATGTTTCTTAGCCAATGAGTCTGGTCAGGTTGGTGTTCACTGGAGTTGACCAGGTCAAAGTGTTTTGATAGACTATGACTATATCAGTTAATACTATACCATATATCCTGCATCCCTTCACCACCACCACACTGCAAGATAAGAAGTGGGCCACATTCCATTGAGTCGCTGGCGACCACTGTGGTGTTCCACAAAAGACATCGAAGAACCGATGACACTGTTGCGCTGCCGGGCTGACAGGAGCCCAAGGCTACGCTACTGGGCTATACCAACAAGCTGAAGTCCCTCACCGCCAAGGCGGGGGACGAACGAGGAGTAGACGGATGGCGAGTTGTGGACCAACCAGGTTGGTCACACCAGAACTTCGTGCTAACTTTCGTGCAAACCAAGAGTGCAAAGCAGAATGAATAGGTGTCCTTTTTTCCCACTCACATGCTGGTTGACTGAGGCCAGTCGTTGCCCCTGGTGCTGACAAACCTCCAAAGTGGTGGCCATTCGCTGGCTCATTCATGACTGGCTCCGTGCCTCGTGAGGTGCAAGAGCTTTCGATGGACTTCGAAAGGCCGCGCGGTGGGAACGTGGTCGTTGTGTGTTCCCGGCGGGGTTTGACAGGTGGGAGGTGGGGCCCTGGCCAGCCGCGTTCTGGAAGACCATCGGAGTTCATCCGTTTTGAATTCCATAGACCATCGGAGTACTCCTCCATACTCCAGATCCACCAGTCACTTTTGGGTGTTCCTCATTGCAGGCTGTGGATCAAGGGCTCCAGTCACATGGGAGGCTGGGCTTTGTGAAGAAATGCCTCGGGTCACATGTGTAGGTTCAAAAAAAGTGTACACCAAACCCGACCCAGCCGTGGTTGCTGGATGTTGATCGGATCATTTGTGATAGAACCAGCCTTCTGCTTTAGGTTTCTCTTTTTGTTGGCGGTTCTTCATGGAAGGCGAACGGGTCGAAGGGCGATAAGTGTTAGTTGGAGAGAGTTTGAACACTTGGTTGCTAGTTGCTTCACATACTCCTCAACGCTGACCATTGAAGGTTTCTCCCCAACAAACACGCCAGCCCTTTAGTGTTTGATGGAGGAACTAGTTCGCCGAGCCTTTCCGAAGGCCAAAGTGTTCTGGAATCTTCACCAAGGGTTGCCAAGGTGTTGCGCAAGTCGCGGAAAAGAAACACAAGACGGCATCATCCAGGAGTCACAAAGGGGTGTTTAGTCCCCTTACGGGGCCGTGGATGTGGCAGGGGCACCCCGACTTCCTCCAAGAGTAGGCATCCCGTCGAACATGACTGCTGGATGTAAGTCTTCAATGCCCCATATCCGTCGTGTGCTCGCCACCTTTGACGCGTAGAGATGCTCCACACCCTTCCCCCCACCGAGGCTTCTGCCGCCGCTGGGGGAAGCCCGGTGACGGGGCCAAGGTCCACCGGGACGTGCGTGCCCAGGCATGGAGTACCTGGAGTCTCAAAGTCTCGGAAAATGACCACGAGCGCCTGTTTGTGACAAAGTCTCAATGTCCAACTTCCAATTCACTGTTGGGATGGGAGGATGTTAGGATAGGATGGTTTGATTCAAGTTCTCATGAAGCTCCAACCTCCACGGAGGGCGCGGCGCGCGCCAATCGGCCCGCCGACCGAGATGGAGGACAAAGAATTCTCCGCTCATGTTGGATGAAGTGAGGGGAGAGGTGAAACTCACACGTTCTGTGAAGTGATCAGACTGTGGAGTGGATCGACCACGTGTTCAGGTTGAACGCTTCTTTCTGCAGAGGGTTCAGGTTTTCACGCGTTATACCACGTGCATTGCAAGTTTGAGCATCCCTCATGTACACAACGACCTTTTGACATGAAAACGTGCCACGAAGTGTTTGATCAAAGCTGCGAGAGTTGACCATGTCATCCAGACATGCTGGAGCTTCCGCCGCACAGAAGATCGAACTCGTCAGCGGCTCGGCAAGAATCTTCTATAATGTAGACACTTGCTTCATTAACCTTCCCATGTTGAATCCATTTGGCGTGTATTTAATTACCTCTTCATGCTTTAAGGGGACTTTTTACGAGTCTACAAGCTTGGACGTGACGCCCGTGGCCGGTTGGACATGGTTGGAGCCACCTATAGGTGGCACGAACGAAGCTCTCCAAGAATCCGATCAAAGCACTTCTGCGCGTTGTCCGTACGCCAAAGTTGCAGAGACCAAAAGGAGCCGCGAGCGTTTCGTCGGCTAGGTGGGGTTCGTCCACCTTTCGAGGGGCTTTTTGGGGAGTCCCGGACACAAAGGAAGAAGGATGCACAAGGCCACCTTTGGGTATGTGGGAGGGAATGTGCATGTGTGGTGTAGGAGATCAATGAGAGCATTGGGCTTGAGCAGGTTCAACAGATTGCAATCATCACTTCGATTGCCAATGTCAAAAGTCCGTTCGTCCCTTCCCCTTCCCTCCGTGTGCGAGCTGGTGCCCGGTCCGAACCGGGGGAGGGCGGTGAGCTTCTTATAGCAGCTGAGTAGCTGAGTGACTTGGAAAGATGAGACGTTGACTTCTCGGTGGGACCGGGAAGATGACCTCTGCCGTGAGAAAGAGGTCAATGAGTCGGAGGTCAATGCGACAGATGAAAGAAAGGACTGGTACTGGGAAGATGACGTGCCTGTCGGAGTCTTTCGGGTCGGCTCAAAAAGAAGGATGTGTGCCATGTGGACACGAAACCATGACATGCGTGAAATGCAGAACTGATCTTGGTCAACCAAAAGAGACACCGAACAAAAAGCGCAGTCTGGTCTTTCCAAGTGACTCAGCTGCACAGCTCAGCTACTCAGCTACTCAGCGACTAGGGCGGTCCAACTGAAGCTTCCCCAACAAACCAGTTCGGAAAGTGCTCCACCGGTTCTCCACGCGACTGAAGCTCCATGGCGCGGCGTCCACCTCATTTAGAAGGCGGGTGGACGCGGTTGGCCATGCCGCTGCGGCGTGTCGAGGGTCCCAATGGAGGCGGTTCTGCAATGAAAGCAGTTTTTACATTGTTCAAAAATGCAGATCAAGCTGTCCCAGCTGAAGAGGCCAGGATTTGAGGTCACTCGTTTTGAGGTCGACGGAGACTCCCGGGGCAGCTGAAGGTGGTCCCTTTTCGGGAGCAACGACCGGTTGAGGAGCCGGTTGCTCACTGAGCCGGAGAACTTGTCTTACAGCTCCCCAGGCTATCCGGTGTGTGAAATGTGAGGCTCTTCCGCATCCAGCTCCAAATCCAAGTTCTTTCCCAAACCGGTAGAAATGAGTCTCAAACCATGTCCCCCAAAAGGGCTGGTCCACTTGTTCCGCCGTGGCGCCGCTGTGGCGCCGTGGGTGCCAGGTGCCGCCGACCCGGCGACCGGCTCGACGGGCTCGGCGCCGCTGTCGCCCCTCCGGCAGCGGGGAGGAAACTTGCAGGTTCGGGGCAGAGGGGAACAAGAAGCTAGGAACAAGTGCATCGCTACTAGTAACAAGTGCCTTACTACTAGGAACAAGAGGACGCTACGAACGGGACTCCTCGCATCACTACTAGGAGCAAGGACGCTACCTAGGGGGCGCTCCTGGCATCACCTAGTAACAAGAAGCTACCTAGTAGCAAGGGTCGCTATTTAGGTCGTTTCAGCAGATCGGGACCGATCGCGAAGTGGAAGTGGCGGTTTCGTGGCCCCGGCCTTGGATGGCAGGTTTTTGGACCTTGGCGGCGGGGGTTACTCGGCGCGTCTCCTTTGCGCGTCCGGTGCCGCCAGTTGGATACCTCCCTGAAGCCGCCCACTCGGAAGCCCAAGCATCACGCGCACGGAAGCCACCACCACCCGCTGCCAAGCACGAAGGTGTCCGGAGACCCGGAAAGTCGGTTTGTTCGCGGGTTGGAAAGAGAGGCGGAGGATGTGCAGATGGACAGACCGGATTTATGCTTGAGATGTCATAGTTTTTTGGGGATCAGTTATATTTGATACAGGTTCTTGTATGAACAAATGAGGTAATGAAGTTGTTATAAAAAATAACAGTAGCAAGAATGAATATAGTTAAAAGAAGGAAAACACAGCGGGGTGGTTTCATTCCAGGCATCCCTTTGTGTGTGCGGCGCAATGAGGCACAATGTCGATCGATACCCACCCCATACTTGGACATGGTTGCTGCGAAGTGGCATACTTGGCCTAACAAATGGCTTCTAATACATCCGGACCCATCATTGAAACGAAGTGAAACTAGAGAGATCTCTTCTTCCTTTTCCCTTCCCACCCCGGTACCTCTTTCCGCGCTCAGCCGCGGCGCCGAGGTATTTTCACGTGGAATGCCGCGGCATCAAGTTTGGAGAGCCCGGGCTCCCGATGACGTTCATCGCCATGTCGGTCCACCCTGGTGCGGTTCCGTGGGTGTGACGATACGACCACTTACATGGCAACTTACGTGGTTCAATGGGCGTCGCTACGAACGGAGCAAGGACGCTACGAACGGGGCTCCTGGCCTTACTACTAGGAGCAAGAAGCTACAAGTAATTAAGTTAAATTAGAATTAGAAGTAGTGGTTCAATGGTTCGGCTTTTGTTCAGGTTTAAATCTGCAGACGGACCACATCACTCCAAAGTAGAGGTCTCCTTGACATGATTCGAGTTTCAATCGGGATCTCAAAAGAAACCGATGCTCCAACCAACCGCTTCCCATGAACCCACCGCGCCGCGCCGCAACGCGACATCGTGAGGACGGTGCGGGTCACGGGCGATCACCCGAGCCTGGGGAGCTGGGACGTCTCGAGAGCGATGGAGCTGGAAACCCAGCAGGACGGAAAACACGTGACGTGTCCTGCACGCATCCGTGTGTCACGCGCGTGGGATCGCTTGTCGCGATGCAGACGTGGAATGTTTTCCCGGACCGTGTTGGGGGTGCACGGGGGTGCCGGAATGCCGACGGTGCCGGGAACCTAGAGGGAACAACGGGTTTTTTGGTGGGCTTCATGATGTGTGAATTCGCCAAGGGGAATCAATTCACGTACATAGAAAAGGGTATTGATTGATGATTGCGGGAATGGTAGATCCAAGCAGGTGTGAGGGCACTGTGGAGAAGGGGCCAGACTGCATGCGGACCTTTTTCCCACAGTCAGGGAAAGTGGTCGATGAGTCCGGGGCAGTCGAGGCAAGTCCTGTGCGTCGACGGGCCGAGAAGCCCACCAAACACCGAAGGATTGTCCTGTTCGTTTTCAGCCCTTCAAGCTTCAAGAGAAAGAGACCGTGCGCAGGCTGTCGAACGAAAAGAGTCAAGGATGAAGATCTACACTGTCAGTTTAACATTTAGGAGAACCCAAGAGTCACACCGGGTTCTGAGCAAGTCCCTGAACACCCGGCAGTTAGGACCATCACCAAGCGTTCCGTGCCCAAAGGAGTTCTCACCGAAGGATTCCGCAAGTGCTTTGCACTTTGGCTGTTACAGATTTGTTCGTCGAAACAGCGGTGGTCGCAATCAGTGAGAGAATCAAGGCGATCCACAGGCTCAGCCTGGCTCGCTGTTCACTTCGAGAGTGCTCAGTTCGTCGCTGGACATCGGCGGCAACGCGTACGAAGAGAGCTTCGTTCGAGCGTTTGAACGACGACTTCGTACGCCCATCGCGAGACTCGTGTCACGTTTGGTGTGCTGCTTCCACCCGCAGTTGATCGCAGTTCTCGAGAATTCGGCTGCGAAACGTTCGAAAAGGCTGTTGGACGAGATCGTCAGCTAGCCCATGTTCTTTTGCCCCAATTCGCATACAAGCTGCAAAAAGAATCAGCAGACTGCTTTGACAGAACTTTGTGGACACGAAAGGTGCCCAAAAGAACGAGCGAAACGATGAAAAAGACACTGATATAATCCCAAGTGTCTTCATTGTTGAATGAGAGGCTGCGAGGTCTTGCTATGTCTTGCTGTGATTCTCGGAGCGTTGTGGCCGTCACAGGGCCGTCATGCTTTGCTTTGGATGGCTCGGTAGGGTGGCTCATCGTTGATGGAGATCTCTTCGGTTCAAAAGCCGCTTCGGTCCGTCGTGCTCCTCACCGTACCGAGAATGTTCCTATGCAAAAGCTTTGCCGAACATTTGCACCGTTGGAAGATCTGTAGGTTTTGTTGCCCTTTTTCAAGGGCTGGGACCCGAAGGGCCCTTCGGGCCCCAGCCTCGAAAATGCTTCCCCCAAACGCGAGGATCTCTTCCCCGTCTTCATCTCCCAGTCCCCCATCTTCGTGGAGCTTCATACCAAGGCGACCGGAGAGGGCCACCCCGGCGGAGCAGCGAGTCGGTTCCGCACCGAAGGGTCGTTTTCGATTCCATCGCTTCGACTGCCAGGTGCAGTACAAGTATTTACTTTGTGGTGTGAATGGCCAGCCACGTGATTGGGAGGTGCGCGACACGGGGGCGATGGGGGCATGGAGTGAAACGGGGCGCGGCTGGCGCCATGAGCGGTGCGGAGGGTTTCGTGAAAGACAAATGAAAGCACTCTTGAACTCTTAGAAATGACATCAGCACCTGTTGTGGAGTGAAAACCAGCTGTTTGGTTAGGAGGATTTCATAGTCAGCCTTCCGGGGCCATACAATCGACTCTGTCAGTTTTCAGCTTGAAAGCCTGTGCATGTGGTCATGCTTAGACAACCGTCGCTCGCCTCAAATACAGATGGGCGGGCTGTGCACTTAGCCTTGAGCCATTTCGGCCTGCGCCTTGGAAAAGTTTGTGCGTTGCGTTCGAAGCATCGGGATCGCGGACCTCGTTTGCCGCTATCACTTGTAGTTGGTGGCGCGGAGCTGTTCTTTGCCTCATGAGTGGCACTGCTGGAGCTAGTTCTGGGTCGACCACGACCTCCTACTCAGGGAAAGCGCATGAGAATGTGCCGGAGTTCTCCGGCAAAGCAGCTGACTACAAGGAGTACAGAAAGCGCCTTCTTTTGTACTCCAAGAAGATGACCCTGGCAAATCGGTCATCCGAGACCGTGTTCAATGTGCTGTGCACCCTCAAAGGAAGAGCCTGGGATGCCACAGAAGACATCCCGATGGATGAGCTCGAAGGATCTGGAGCCATGAACAAGATCCTGGAGCGCTTGGACAAGGTGTTCAAGTATGACGCCATCACCGAACTCCCAGGTGATTTCGAAAGCTTCTTCTGCACCCTTCAACGTCGAAAAGGAGCTACCTTGCAGGAGTACGCTGGTGACTTCGAGCGTGCTCTGAGGAAGCTTGAGGGTCACAACGTGACTTTGCCAGACAAGGTCGTTGGCTGGTACTTCATGCGCAGAGCTGGACTCTCCCAAGCTCAGCGCCAGCTCATCATGTCCAGCATTGGAGCTGAAACCCTGTCCCTCGAAACTGTTCGAAAGGCCATGAACTTCGTGATTGGGCAGGACAGCGTCCCGGACCCCGATGGCTACAAGTCCAGTCCTCGATGGACCAAGCCCTACAAGAATGAAGCCATCTACTACGAAGACGATGTTCCTCTGGAGCAAATCTATGAGGAGCAGGGCTATGACCCGGAGTACTGGGATGAAGGCCAAGCTGGCCATGATGGTGGAAATGAAAGCGCTGAGGAGTTTGAAGATGAGATGATCCTCCTTGCCAATGATGATTTGACTGCTGACTATGATGATGTCATGGCAGGCTACACTGAAGCTCGCCAGAAGCTGAATCAGATGAGAATGTCCCGTGGCTACTACCCTGTCGTGGCCATGGTTCCGGACCAGATGACGTACAAGGGTCCACCAAAAGGCAAGGGACTCGGCACTTCGAAAGGGAAGTCCAAGAACAAGAAGGGAAGTCCTGGCAGCTCAAAACAAGCTCCAAAGCCTCCTTCCGCGAAAGCTCGCGGTCGCGCTGCACTTGGCGCTGAACGATGCCTTCGATGTGGTCAAGCAGGGCATCGTGCGAAGAACTGTCCAGCCGCTGGTGGAGCTGGCAAGCGGAAAGCAGAGAATTCTCTCGAGGCTGACGTCAATATGGTTGAGAGTGTTGATGCTGATGACATTCAGCTCACAGTTGAGGAGCCTTCCAAGCAAGTCCACGATGTTGCTATGATGGACTGTGGTGCCGGAAGCGTGTTGACTTCCGAAGGAAAGTTGAAGAGCTACCTCACCATGCTCAAGGATGCTGGCTTTGAGATCAAGAACATCCCTGTTTTTCGCTGCAAGAAAGGGTTCCGTTTTGGCAATGGTGAGAAGAACATCACCTCACTCTGTGTCCTGGTCCCCACTTTCATGGAGGGCAAGCGTCGAGATGTCCTGATGTACATCATTCCTGGACAAGCACCTTTCTTGTTTGGGAGGCCTTTGCTTGAGGCCCTTGACATCACCATCAACTATGCCGCCGGGAAGATTCGCTGGGGCCGAAAGGCATGGAAGAAATGCCTTCGTGGGACAAAAGGTGAGTTCATCTGCCACATGGCTTCTGATCTCCAGAAGTTGCTGAAGAAGGAACCGCACAATGTCCTCCTGCCTGACGATTTTGATCAGCACGTGTACCCTGATATCCTCGACATCAACATCTTCTTTGATGGCCAGTCAGCGAACATGCTGAGTGTTTCTGAGGATTCCGTGCACAGTGTTCTTGAGCAGGAGACGTCAACAAGTTTCACTTCCACAGCTTCCATTTCGGCAGCTCAGAACTTCATTGCAGCGTGTGAGAAGAGTGCAGCACCCTCTGATGATGCAGAGGTCACACGGGCAATTCATCTTGACAGCCCGATGTCGCCTGACTTTCAGGCCGACTCTGATGATGATGTGATCGTCACTCATGAAGTGCAATGTGATCTAGGGACCAACCATGATGAAGCAGAATGCGATGATCACCACCGTCTGCCGACGGGCAAGCTGAAGCAGCTCTTGCATGACACTGAACGTCGTCTCAAGGAGTGTGATGATGTCCTGCGAGCCTGCCCACTCATGAACTATGACAAGAAGTATGTCTTGTGGGAGCTCTTTGCAGGTGAAGGTCGAGTCACGGCCACAGCCAACCGAAGGAAGAACTTGTCGGCTGAGCGATTCTCCTTGGCTGATGGATGGGACTTCACCCGTCCAAGTCACAGAACTGCATTCCTTCGTCGTCTTCGTGAAGAAGAACCTGATGCTGTTCTGTTGGCACCGATGTGCAAACTGTGGAGCGCATTGCAAGAGCTCAGCATTGCCAAGGATCCCTCCTATGAAGAGCGCCTCAATGAAGCTCGAGACTGGGATCACATCAACATCTTGATGTTTTGTGCGGTGGTCTATGAGCACCAGAGAAGGCATGGACGGCTTGCACTACTAGAACATCCAAAGGGAAGCCGTGCTTGGAACACCTATGCCTTCCAACAGATGCTTGGCTTTGATGCTGAAGTTCACCAGTGCATGTTTGGCCTCAAGCTGCCTGATGAAAGTGGCACCATCCAGCCAGTTCGGAAGCCCACAAATTTTCGGGTTACAAGCCAAGAGTGTGCCAACCAGTTGTCAAGACTTTGTGATGGAAAGCATCAGCACACTCATCTTGAAGGGCATGTACCTGGCGTTGGTCTTCGTTCCTGGCTTGCTGAGAGCTATCCTCAGCCCTTGGCAACTCACCTGGTCAACTGCATCCTCCGTGAACTCGAGTCTCAAGATGAAATCTTTGCAGTTGAAGATGATGCTCAGGCTGACATCCGAGCCTACATGACTGGCCAAGCTGAACCAGCAACAGAGCCACCATCCAGTCACTCCAAGAAAGGTGAGATCGTTGATCTCGAAACTGCTGAGAGCCTCGAGGACCTAGACCCCATCCGACGGAATAAGATCCTGAAGTCTCAAGTTGGACCCCGAGCTGTGGAGTATGTCCAAAGACTCCACAAGAATTTGGGACATCCTTGATGGGAAATCCTTCATCGAATGCTTCGTGAAGTACAAGCGACTGAGAATGTCCTCAAGGCAGCCAAGTACTACACCTGTCCTCTCTGCTATGCTCGAAAGCCTCCAAAGCAGAACCCTCCTGCATCTGGTTTGAAATGCACCGAGTTCAACCAGAGGATCTTGGTCGACTCCCACTGGATTGCATGTGAGGACAGCATTGTCAAGAAGCGTGAGCCTGCGCCTGGAACTCCTGCAGCCAAACGAAAAGAAAAGGATGTGAAGGAAAAGAGGCCCACTGGTCGTCAATGCGTGTTGACTGTCGTTGATCACGCAACTCGCTATGTGGCCATCCGCATCCTCAAGAATGAGAAGGCTGAAGAGTTCACAAAAGGGCTCGAACGCTGTTGGTTGAAGCACTTCGGCACGCCTCAAATCCTGAGGATCGATGAAGCCAAAGGATGGAGCAGCAACCATGTTCGTGAGTGGGCCACACAACGTGGAATCTCCTTGGAAGTCCAACCTGCAGAGAACCACTCGTGGCTTGGCGTTGTTGAAAGAAAACATCAGGTTGTCCGACGAGCGCTTGAGCTCTACATGGACCAATGTGAAAAACACGACTTGGTGGCACTCAAGGAAGCTGCTCGCTATGTGCCTCACAGCATCAACCAGCTGTCCTTTCACAAGGGACTCACACCACAACAATGGGTTGTTGGAAAGTCGATGACCCATGTCCATGGACTCAGTGGAGAGATCTTCAACCCTGCTCAGGAGGCCATCGATGAGCAAGGTGCTTTCGCCATCATTCAACAGCGGCGAATCAATGCCGCCAAAGCCTTCATAGCCGCTGACTCAGATGCCAAACTCAGGCGAGCCTTCAACCAGAAGTTCGCAGAGATGCAAGAAGATTTGGCAATCGGCCAAAGAGTTTGGTACTGGCGAAAGAATCTGAGGCGACTTCAGAAGTCTGGATGGCGTGGACCTGCTCGCATAGTAGCCATCGAGGAGCAGCCCAACGTGAATGTCTACTGGCTTTGTCATGGAACCAGTTTGGTTCGCTGTGGAGCTCGACAGGTCAGACCGATGGTCGAAGACACCGGCATGCCTGCAGCAAGTGATCCAAAGGCTGCACTCAAGGACCTGCAAGAGCTCAAAGCCAGGAGCACCACTCAGTTTCGAGATGAGCTCAAGAAATCTGGTCATACTGATGAAGTTGAAGAGCTCAATGGTGATGACATGGAGCTGGATGCTGAATATGAGCCCACTGATCCTGGCGACCTTCCTGAGCAAGGTTCGGCTGATGAAGAAGCTCCAGACAATGAAGAACAAAATGCGGAAGTTCCTGGTGTGGTCAGCATCTTTCTCCCACAACTTGCTGAAGAACGTGAGAGAACACCGAGAAGACGACAGGAACCCTCTACGGCACCACCGTCTGAAGCAATGGAGCCTGAAGAATCTCCTTCAAGCCCAAAGCGAAAGTCATCAGCCCCTTTGCAAGAGGAGCGAAAAGAGAAGGCTGCCAGATCCTCACTTGCACCTGTTGCAGAAGAAGCAGGTCTTGCTTCCGATGGAGTATCAGTTCCACTTCCAATAGAGGAAGATGATGATCTCGTCATTGATGATGTCTACTTCACCCATCTTCCTGATGACGCCCCTGAAGGCTGGCGGGTGGTCGATGGCTGTCTTGAGTTAGATGATGTCTACCTCACTGCCATTCGCAAGGGTGAGGTCAATGAAAGAAAGCTCAACCCAGAGGACAGATTGAAGTTTGTCGATGGCAAGCGAAAAGAACTCGACCAGTACTTCAACAACTTCGTTTGGAAGTTCGCTGCCACCGATGAGATTGAAACTGCCATCAGGAACAAGAGAGTCATCACTGCTCGATGGGTCTTGACTTGGAAGAAGATTGACTCTGAAGATGGCATCGTCCGATGGCGAGCTAAGGCTCGACTTGTCCTCAGAGGATTTCAAGATCCGGACATCCTCTCAATGAAGACAGCAGCACCTACCGCTGGAAGGACTGCCAGAACCTTTCTCCTGGCATGTACTGTTTGGATGAACTGGAGCCTCTTTTGTGCAGATGTCCAGGCAGCTTTTCTTTCTGGCAAGAGCTTTGATCGTTTGCTGGTGGTTCGTCTGCCAATGGACTGCCTTCCACTCATCGATGGTGCAGCACAGAAGGTGTACAACAAGCACCTCTACATGAAAATGTGCAAAAGTGCCTATGGCCTGTGCGATGCACCACTTCTGTGGTATGAAGAAGCCAGCTCAAGGCTCATGAAGCGAGGATGGAAGAAGCATCCCATCGACAGTTGTTGCTTCATGCTCCAAGATCCAGAAGATGAAAAGAAGAAACCTGGGCAACTGGCTGGCTTGATCATCGTTCACGTTGATGATTTCCTGGTGTCCGGCAGCCAGTCGAACCCGACCTTTAAGAAGGCAATGGATGATCTCCAAAAGGACTTTGCCTTTGGAAAATGGGACCAGCTGACTCCAAAACAACCCCTCAAGTACTGCGGTGGCATCATCCTTATGAACTCCAACCACGACATTGAAGTGTCATATGCAGAGTACTTGAAGAAGATTTGCCCCATGACCATTGCAAAAGGTCGCAAAGACACCGATGAGGTGACAGCTGCTGAAATCAGTGCAGCCAGAGGCTTGATTGGCGCTATGCAGTGGCCTGCAACTCAAGGAGTTCCTCATTTGTGCGCCTCAATGTCCATCCAAGCCGGAGAAGTGCCAAAAGGAACAGTCCACAATCTCAAGGAGCTCAACAAGAGCCTTCGATTTGCCAAGACCAACTCTGATGTCACTTTGAAGTTCTTGGCACGGCCTTCATCAAAGAAGACCGATCTCAGCACCCTATGTCTTGTGTGCTATGCTGACGCTGCTTTCTGCGTCAGAAATGACAAGACCTCACAGGGTGGCTATGTCATCATGGCATGTGAGAAAGGAGTCTTGCAAGGTGAAAAGAAGCCTGCATCCATCATCTCATGGCGCAGCTTCAAAGTACCCCGTGTCTGCCGCAGCTCATTGGCAGCAGAGTGCCAAGCATGTGCGACAGCACTTGAGGAACTCCTCCTCACAAAGACCTTCCTTGAAGTCCTGAAGAACCCCTCACTGACTTTGCAGCAAGTCAAGGACAAGCTGGAAGGCGAATGTGCCATGGTCACGGACTGCAAGGCACTTTACGATGCGGTGCATCGTGAGACGATTCAACAAGCCACAGACAAGAGAGTGGCAATAGAAGGATTGGTCATAAAGGACCTCCTCAACGACCTCCACTGCCAGTGGCGCTGGGTGAGCTCAGAGAGGCAACTGTCTGACGGCCTCACCAAGGTCGGAGCCAGACAGGCTTTTGTGGAGCGCTTCAAGGGAAGCTATGTGCAGTTGATCTCCGACACTGCCTTCACTGCCTCAAAGAAGAAGTCAAAAGAAGAAAGAGAGAAGACCATAGCTGAGACAAGGTCAACAAGGACCTCCAGGTCTCAAGTGGCTGAAGCACTTGTGGCTCTCGTCATGGCCACGCAAGTCAATGAAGCCAGCAGCTCAAGTCTTGATGAAGTGAGCCTGAATGGCTTCCATGCGCTGTTGATCACAGCCCTCATTGGCCTGCTGACCATGCTTTGGCTCTTTGGAAGAGTGATGGTCAGCCTCTGCCAGAGATCACCTAAGGTGATTCAAGATGAAGTTCCGGCAACTCCAGCCGATGTCCAAGCTGAAACCTTGCGGCTTGAAAATGAAGGTCTGCACCAGACCATCAGATCCCTTCGAGCACAGCTTGCAGTGCTCAATGGCAAGCTTGGAAGAGCGAATAAAGAAGTTGCTCGAGTGGAGAAAGAGATCAAGATCGCAAAAGAGCAAGCCCGAAACTCTCAGGAGCCTGAAACCTTCTTTGGTCCACACGGCATCTACGTTTGCCCACATGGAGAAGTGTGGCATGCGACACGGACCTGTGCTGGCCAGGGTGGCACCTACAAGAGAGCTTGCGCCCGCTGCGTTCCGGGAGGCTGAGCGAATGACTCCCTCCTGTGTCAGTTTTCAGCTTGAAAGCCTGTGCATGTGGTCATGCTTAGACAACCGTCGCTCGCCTCAAATACAGATGGGCGGGCTGTGCACTTAGCCTTGAGCCATTTCGGCCTGCGCCTTGGAAAAGTTTGTGCGTTGCGTTCGAAGCATCGGGATCGCGGACCTCGTTTGCCGCTATCACTTGTAGGACTCCATTATTGTTTCAGTGTCAACCCTAGAAGAAATCCAATCGGATACAGGTGAGTTGTGTTTAATCTGCTCACGGCAACAATGAGATCAGACAGATTGCTTCTTTGTTTTCGGGGTGATTCTCTCAACTAGTCGTTTCAACGGAATACCTTGTCTTCGTTTGAAGGGTTCTCAGTTGCCCGGTCAAAGCTGAGGCCGAAGCTTCGTTAGTGGCTATGGCTATAGCTGGTGTTTTGGCTGACAACATTCGGTTGGCTCCGAATGGATAGAAGAATTTTGCTCGTCTTTGCACTTTTCACAGCTTCCAAGTCCAAGTAAAAGGGGTGGTGGTGGTGTATGGTGGATGGTGTGACTCACTGCCCTTTGACCTCCCCCCGTCAACCAGTGGGACCCCCGGACACGACGCCTGCAGGACGGAGGTCTCGAGCGGAGCTTCGTGGCCAACGGCACCGAGATGACGCTGGAAGACGACGACGGGCGCGGGCGGCGGCTCGCGGTTCGCAGGTCGCGGTGGTTCAAAGCGCGCGTCCGGGAGAGAGAGAGAGGTTCCTGTTGAGTGGTCTTCTCTGTAGATCTCAGGAAACCAGAGATGTGAGGGGTCCATAGCAGGTGAGCAGGCAGAGTTGGTTTTTGAAGACGTGCGAAGGATGCACCGAGATGGAGGGATGGTAGGACGCTTGTAGGTGGTTTGTTCAACTTGAAGACTCTGGAACAAGACTACGCGTTGGACACTCATTGCTTGCCGGTCGGGGTCCAAATTCCCAACGCTTCGATGTGTTGCTTTTTTAGGTCTGACTGTGCACAACGCTGCTACACACTAACGGCATCTTTCTGCGCAGTCGGCCCGAATGCATGTGAGTGGAGTAGTACTGGGGGCAAAAATGGAAGCATCAACCGAGCGTTGTTCAAAGCATCGCTCGGTTGGTCTGTTGCTTTCACATCGGACGTCCCGGCCACGTCCGCCCGGTGGCGCGCAGGGCCTTCCGACAGAAGGTGGGCATGGAGGAAGACTCCGACGGCGACTCGGCGACGCGGGGCGATGACGAAGACCATGGGGGGGACAGGGACGCCTTGATCTCTTCGGGCGAGCTGGACATTCATGATGAATTTCTAATAGCTTCTTGTTACTACTAGTAAGGCACTTGTTACGTGTAGCGATGC